AAAAAAAAAAAAAAAAACCCACGTCATCATTAAAGATCTCTGAAGGGTTGCAAGTAAAGCCACAGACTGCGTACGATCTCAACGGCTTCATCTACTCTTAGAAAAATATAAATTACTTTCCAAAGTTGGGAGTGATTTCACCTGTCCACCTAGTTTCTGGTTTCTCTTGGTCCCTTGATGGCAGCTGGCAGGGGAACTCCATTTGCCCTAGGCCCTTCCTGGAAGCTTTACTCATTTCACGTTTTTGCTGAGAATGGGAATTTTTCTTCCACACTGGATTTACGTTGTTGTCCAGAGTGAGGAAAGACACCCCTCCTCCTCCTTTTCTTCATACATTTCTTGTCACTTGGGTGTTTCCACTTACAAGGGAAAGTGCCTCAGAGACTCGCTTCTGATCACACAAGAGCCAGAACGAAGACCTATGTGTCCCGACTAAAGCATTCTATCTACACTCCCTGTCCTTTCTCAGGATCTTACTCTCGAGAATTTCAAGAGAGGTCAAGATCACTCCTGTAATTTCAGTCAACAGTTTTGCTGTGCATTGGACTGATCTATGCCCTGGATGTTGTAGATCAAATGCTATTCTTTCCTCAAAGGAGGGGTTACATTGTTTCATGACATTGAGCCTCTGCTGGCCTAGGGTTCTGCTTCTCAGTGGTGTTGGGTAACCAGTGGGCAATGTTGCCAGTGTGTCCTCAGGATTGGAGCAGGGCCTGCCTGTGCAGGATTGAATGAATTCTGCTATGTCCAGCTGAGGCTTCCGGATGGAAGCCCAAGGATGCATGAGATTTAGTCTTTCCATCCCAGATCTGTTAAAGTTGTGCGTGAAGGGACACTTTAATGTTGTTAATAATGTCCACAAGTTCCAGAGAAAGGAGCTAGGGCTCCTTGGGTTCAGGTAGAGATGTTGACTTTTTTATGCCCACCCCACCCCACCCCCACCCTTCTCTACTTTTCCCTCTAAAAGTTATGAGTTACAGATCGAACTATATCTATAAAGAACTAAGGAATTCAGTTCCCATTTTTAATTCATTAGTATTAACTGTTAATCAGAACTGCTACTGACAAGAAAATTTATCACTGGATTGATTGAATTCTAGCCCCAAAGAAAGAAACTGAGTCATGGCAGGCCTGGATGACCTCATCCCAGGTGTGTGAAACTTCTGTTGAACATCAGCACTAGCTTGTGGGTGTTCAGTTTCCCACAGAGATGGCTCTCCTAGCTAGGGGCTGTTTCACTTAGAGATGGACAGATGGTGAGTTTCCAGCCTGAATTTTGCCCTGAACGACTGTTCACGATGCCTCAGTAGAGTCTAGTTTGAAATATCTGGGACCCAGGCCATGGTAGAGCTGGAAACTCAAGTGGGCACAGTGGTCAGCACCCAGTAGCAGGGGTACTGAGTTCCTTTGGCTGCCAGAGGGCCAGGTTTCTGGAAGAGGTTGCTTTAGCCAACAAGACTGGTCATCCTGGGTTTCTTAAGTTGCAAATCCTTGTACGTTCAAGGTGGTAGGATGGAAAACAAACAGCTCCCCCCTCCTTTAATTAACATAGAATTTTCTGTTGTTGTACCCCAAACTAAAAAGAATGTGTGCTCAACCCAGTTATACCTAATACTACCTGTGTGCTCGTGGAAAGATCATTCCACTTTTCTGGGCCTTGGTTTCCATTAAAGTGAAGGACAATTGGACTTCATTGGGGAACACAATATGTTTTGTCTTCCAGGTCAATTGTCATCAGTTGGTAGTAGCAGTCTCCAAAGTCCTGAGCTGAGAATTCGGAGTTCATATCTGGGTTTGAGAATGTTGAGGCATGATCCGTTAGTGAAGTATGCCACTGGCCCTGGTTCCAGGGAGGAAAAGGCATATCATTCTTGGAAAGAATGAACCTTAGGACCATTGGATCACTCATTGCCTGAATCTTAGTATTTTATAACATTTAAGACTGGAAATTGCTTGATATTTTGCTGGACAAAGACCATATAAGTCTTGATTATGGTCTTGAGGGATTTTTTTTTTTGTTTTATGTTATTATCATTATTAATACTTTTTTTAACTACAGGAAAATAGTTGATCGAATTGACAGTAATGGAGATGGCTTCGTCACCACTGAGGAGCTGAAAGTCTGGATCAAACGGGTACAGAAAAGATACATCTATGATAACGTCGCTAAAGTCTGGAAGGATTATGATAGGGACAAAGATGAAAAAATCTCCTGGGAAGAATACAAGCAGGCTACCTATGGCTACTACCTAGGTAAGAGGTGCCACAGTGGAGATTGCATGGTAGGGAACAGGCTCACAGGAGACTCTGTCACCATGGCTACCCCCTTTCAGCCCGGATGTCACAACCTTCAAAGTAAAACCTGTTGTGTAACATCCTCCTCTGCCTACTAAGAATGTACCAAGTTGCTTTCTTTGTCTGACAGAGGGGAAGGTGTCTTAGGTCACGGCCCTGCTTGAACTTAGCTCTCAGAGATACGCACAGAGAAAGAAGGAGAAAGAGGATGGATGTGCTTCTGGTGGTTCCAAATTGCTACTGAGGATGGGTAGTAAGGATGAAGTATGCCTGAACCATTCTGAGGAAGGACTTCCTTAGGAATGGATTTAAATTTGGAGAGATGGAGAGACTGTGAGGAAGGTGGCCGAGTTGGAGCGGCAGAGGCACGGACATGCATGCACGGTGGTTAGTCGTTTAGCAGGAGTATGGTGCAGACTCTCCAGATGCCTGATAACACAGCAGGGGAACAGCCTTGGGGGACAAGGAAGATAATCAAAGCCAGATTCCGAGAGCTTGAAAGCCAGCTGAGGCATTTAAACAAGATATTCTAGAACACACAGGGAATCCTCATATGTTCTAGATCAAAAAGTGAGACAATGAATGCGGAGGTTTGTAAATAAAGGTCTGAAGTGGTGTGGTCTAAAGCCGATGCTCTTCAGTATTTGCTGTAAAACCCCTAACGGGCGCTGCGACTGTGATGATGGGATGACCTGGCGGGAGAGGAGACACAAAGGGCATTTTGAATAGAAGTATTTTAAAGAACCCAGTGGGTGGGTCAGGATCTTTTGTGTGTGTGAAGAATGAGTGATCCAGAACAAAAGGTCCTCCTTAACAAAGGTTGACCGCTGCTGTGTGCACTCTGCAGGAAACCCCGCTGAGTTCCAGGATAGTTCTGACCATCACACCTTTAAAAAGATGCTGCCACGGGATGAGAGAAGGTTTAAAGCTTCAGACCTTGATGGTGACCTGACGGCTACTCGGGAGGAGTTCACTGCCTTTCTGCACCCAGAGGAGTTTGAACACATGAAGGAAATTGTAGTTTTGGTGAGAACCGTAAAAATGCAGACTGGGAAAAGACCCGGGAGAAAACTGTCCCCTCACCTTGTCCCTTTTCCCGGAAAGAGACTCAGCATGCTGGGAATTGAGGAAGGACTTGAAGTTGAATATGTCAGATCTCTATCTGCCCAGGAAGGAGTCAGGACAAGCTAGCTGCTGTAACAAATACCCCAATGGAAACCATTGAACACAAAGCAAGCTTGTTCCTTACTTGATTGAAGTCCATTAAGGCTAGTTCCAGGCAGATCCCCTCTAAATACTAGAAGGCACCCAGGCTGCCTCTGTCTTTAGTTCTCCATCTTAGAGCTTCAGGGTCATCCTGGGAACAGCTGGGGGGCAGACAAAGGACAGAGACAGAATGAAGAAATGTGATAGCCTGTCTTCACTATTCAGACCAGGAGAAAAAAGATACATATACCTGTTTATGTTCCGGCCCCCTTAGATATGCAGAGACTGAGAGACACCATTTAGACATGCACTCAGAAAGAGGTGATGGGTTAGAGCAGCCAGCTGGACTCTGCTCATTTTTTGTTGCTGGAATTACCTTCTTCCTTTCTTTTCTTTTCTTTTCTTTTTTCTTTTCTTTTCTTTTCTTTCTTCCTTCTTTTCTTCTTTCTTTCTTTCTTTCTTTCTTTCTTTCTTTCTTTCTTTCTTTCTTTCTTTCTTTCTTCCTTCCTCCTTCCTTTTCTTTTCTTCTTTCTTTCTTCCATCCATCCTTCCTTCCTTTTTTTCTTTCTTTTCTTGGTTTGTTCATTGAAAAATGGCTTGAAAGGAATAGAAAGCCTGGAAAGATAAAGTGAATTGCGGCTGGGACGGCTGCTGCTTCAGCAGTGGTCTCTAGAGAGAGGATGGCTGGATGCCAGGCTTATGAAAGGGCTGATGCTTGAAGGCCCCTGAGTGTCATTTCGTCCATTGGTCCCATTGGGTCCCATGTGTCTTCATTTTCCATGACATTTAAATGAATGCCATCACCTGTATCCTGGACAGAGTCAGTTCCAACTGCTGGGAAGCTGTTGACGAAAGATTTTGTTCATCTTGTTCAATAGCTCTGGGCACCTGAGATTTCCAACCAATGACAGTGTCCGCTCTGGCCTCATACTTTTGCCTCATGAGTATCATGACCCCAAGGACTGGGCAGTGGTCCAAGAATCATTCTTCTTTATCACCCAACATCCATTTAGTGATAACCAATTTTCCAGAGGACAATGGAGATGGAATTTGCCACAGGGGAATTGTTTGCCTTTGAGCAAGATCAGTGCTCTGGACTTAGTCTGTTTTCTTTGACTTGGAGTGTCCTTGAGTAGCTCGGCGCATGGATGGCAAATTCACTGAGTTACTGAGGCTGGGGGCGGGCGGTGGGCAACAACTCCAAGTCAAATGTCGCTTATTAGAGTAGTCAGTTATACCTCTAATGTTTAGTTCTCCAGTTTTATGTGTCTCCGACAGCAGCTGAGTATTCCTGGCTCTTAGCTGTGGAATCTATTTTTATCTTCCCCTCTCGTAGGTGTCCTTAGGCTGGACTCTCTCGGACTCCTAGGGCAATGGCTGGTGATGGATAGTGTTGGTCTGGCAGGGCTTCTTGAGAGCGTCAGAGCTCAGCTGAGTTTCCAGACACCTTTTCCTTTGAAGAAAGGGTTCTGCCCTGGAAACTGGAGAGATGATATGGGGATACCAACCATCACCTGTTGTTTGTTTGTTTGTTTGTTTGTTTGTTTGTTTGTTTTAATGTAATGGACTACCCAAGGAGCTAAGAGAACGAGGCATTAGTCACCAACTGTTTAGACATAAAAGCCAGATGAAGAGACAATAGGAGTCTCGGACTTACTTAAAGCACGTGGCCATCTGGTGTTTCCCATTGCTTCCTAGGAAACACTGGAGGACATCGACAAGAACGGGGATGGTTTCGTGGACCAGGACGAATACATTGGTGAGTATGGACTGCAGTAGCTCCGCAGGCCACACTGGACCGCGTTCTTCTCCACCCGCACCCAGAGTCTGATGGCCGCACTGCTGGAGCTCCAACAGAGAGGGACCTTCAGCCCTGTTTGTTGGATTAGCCCAGTTGGTGCAAAGTGAGCAATTAAGAGTTCCCCCAGGAGAGAAAAAGCAAAAGGACAGCCAGCAGCCAGCAGCCACAGGGCCCAGGGGAGCTCTTGGTCACACTGCCTTGGAAGTGGGTGTGGAAAGGTAAACCTTTCCGTGGTGTGCACAGTTGTCCCTTGTTAGAACCGCTCATCCTCTGGTGTGCCATCTTGTGACTAGCAGTGCCATATTTGGCATTTTCTTATTGAGAAGCATCAGGGAGAATCGTCTGATGGAAGCTCAGATCCACAATGGACAGCAGTCCCCAAGCACAAAAATCTGCAGCCAACATGGAAATTTGCATATGATCCCCACCAACCGCACCGCTGTGGTGTGTGGCTCCAGCCTCGGGCCGCCATCTTGTACGAACCCTCCTTTTCCTGTCTCAAGTAAAATCTCTCGATTAGGTATTGACTTCTGGGGAGAGATCAGAAACTTTGTGAATGTGTTTAACAGATGCAGTTACCTTTAGATTGTAATACTGAGCCCAAGCTGCCTCGTTCTCTGTTTTGTGGTTGTATGATTTTTGTCCCCACCAAAGGACAAGCACCTTTGGTAATGACGAACACAGCCTCTGCTCATTGTGAAAAGTCATACATGGTCCTAGAACTGAACATTTCGCTGTCTGTCGTGGGTAACAGCCAGGTAGCTCTTTGCCTCGGTAATTAAAGTGATCTTGGTGACTGTAGCTTTTTATGGTAAGGATGCTAATAGTGACCTCATCAGTGCGAGCAGAGGAGCAGCCCTCCTCTTGAGAGGCCCATAAGGGAAGGGAGCATTCAGAGCCTCAGACCTGTCACCATGACAGCAGTGATTGAATGAGACAAAAAGAAAGGCTTCCTGATAAAAACAAACAATTGGGCACTTTTGATTAACAGTGTACGCTCTTGACGGCCCTCCTGAACTCTGCCTTGAGATGGTGCCCCACAGGGGCAAAATTCAGAGTGGCTTTGACGAAAAGAAGCATTTCGTTGTGGACACTGTGCAGAGAGGGGAGGAAGCTATTGTGCTTGGGAGTCAGATTTTCAGCAGCCAATAGTGAGAAAGACTTGATGTGTGAACTTGCCAGGCAAGGGACCTGATTTCCAGGGTGTTGTTACTTTAGACAAGCCAAGGAGTTGCTAGTGTGGCGTTCTGGAAAGGGTTCTGGGGTGAGGAGCCCTGGCTCCCCCACCCACTGACTGCGTGAGCCTGGGAGAGTTGTGTAATCCCTCTCTGCCTCCGTTTTCTCCTCCGTTACATGATGACAAACAGCGCTCGTTCCTGCGGGGCTGAATGAAGCTCAGACTAGCTGATGGGATAGTCCTTTCTCAAAATCAGTATGCGGAGGTGGGTGTAGTGCTTGTTGTGAAAGTATGAAGAGCCGAGGTCACATCTCCAGTATCCACATAAAAAGTCTGGAGTTGCGGCACACACCCGTAATCCCTGCACAGCAGGACCCTGGGGCTCAGTGACAGCCAGTCTCACGTCAGTGAACTCCCGGTGCATTGAGAGACCCTGTCTCAAAGTACAAGGTGAAATAGTGATGAAGACACCTGACATAAACCTTTGACCACCACACACTTAGAGTCCACGGGAACATGTACACACACACACACACACACACACACACACACACACACACACACACACACACGCGCGCGCGCGCGCGCAAATATCAGGCATGATTATTCTCTTTTTTTTTAAATTTTTTTTCAAGACAGGGTTTCTCTGTATACAACCTGGTTGTTACACAGAACTCTGTAGACCAGGCTGGCCCGGAACTCAGAGATCCTCCTGCGTCTGCCCTCTGAGCACTGGGATTAAAGGCATGGGACTGACTACTTTATGGCTTTTCTTTTCCTGCTTCCTTCAAGTGCCTGCTCTCGCTGATGACTGACTTGCCCTTTATATTGAAACTTTATACAAAGAACCTGTTTTCTGTTTTGAAACATTATTATATTTTTCCCCAAATTGAAACTTTACAACCAAAAGCTTTTTTTCCACACTGAAATGTTATCATGAAGAACTTTGTTATTTTCTTCTATATTGAAACTTTTTCCACTTAAGGTTTCAAAACTGTGTTTCCTTCAAAGAGAAACTACCCATGGGGTGTAAGTAGACAATAGCAAAACTGTGTGAGAGCTGGGCATGGTAGCACACACTTTAATCCCAGCACTTGGCAGACAGAGGCAGGCGAATCTCTAAAGAGTTCCAGGCACCCTGCTCTATATAGTGAGTTCCAGGCCAGGCTGGCTATAGAGTGAGACCCTGTCTCAAAACAAACAAAAGGCAGTTTGTGAATGTTCCCTTCTCCTTTTTCCCGGTATTTTATAAAACTGAGATAATGAGCCGGGCAGTGGTGGTGCCCGCCTTTAATCCCAGCACGGATCTCTATGAATTCGAGGCCAGCCTGGTCTACAGACTGAGATCCAGGACGGGCACCAAAACTACACGGAGAAACCCTGTCTTGAAAAACAAAAAACAAAAAAAAAAACAAAAAAAAGAGAGAGAAAGAGAGAGAGAGATAATGATCTATCTTATTGTAATAGATATTAATACTTTAATATCTTAAAGTATAGAGGGGTGAATAAAATAAAAGAAAGCCCTTTGAAAATGGGGCAAGCCACAGTCATAATCATAGAGGGGATGAGGGGTTGGCAGGAAGCCTTCAGTGGTCCTGTGCAGTGGTCCTGTGCAGTGGTCCTGTGCAGTGGTCCTCTGGTTCAAACAAGCTGTGGATTGTATCTTCGTTTTCATTTGTAAGATGGGGGACTAGCAGCTACTTCAGGTGATATAAAGGAACTGAAGTGGAAATGTGTATAGGAGGACACTTCCTAATGTATCTGGGCTGTGGAAAGTACCCAGTGGGATTTGTTTTCACCCTTACAGTGCCAGTTGGAATAGAGGCTTATGGAATAGAGGTTCTCCCAGAAATAGCCCTTCAGTCTTCATAAACATGATTTAGCAATTATTATCTCCATTTTACGAGCTTTGGGCTCAGATGCTGAACTAAGAGATTCCAAGGCTCATCTTCTGGCTCTAACCAAGTCTTCCTGTCACACACCTCGTGGTGTCTATAGTGTGTAGATCAGTGGCCATTCCTCAGCTTTGCAGCCACTGTGATTTAGCTCTCTCCATGGGATATCACCTTTCCAGAAACTCAGGGGTCGAATTTTTTTGTCTTCTGTAACTAAGAACAGCTTTGTCTTCTAGCGGACATGTTTTCCCACGAGGACAACGGCCCTGAGCCAGACTGGGTTGTGTCCGAACGGGAGCAGTTCAATGATTTCCGAGATCTGAACAAGGATGGGAAGCTGGACAAGGAGGAGATTCGCCACTGGATCCTCCCTCAGGACTATGACCACGCACAGGCTGAGGCCCGGCACCTGGTTTACGAGTCAGACAAAAACAAGGTAGCTTCCAGGTTCAGAGCCCTTGATTGACAGGAAGCAATTGGTTCAAGATAGGGTTTGTTTGCCTTGTTAGTTGTCTCTGGTTGCGTACCTATTTACCCCCGCCTCCGCCCAGTAGAGATCTGTACTTACCATGACAGCTATAGTGAGCAACTTAGACTTCATCTTTTCTGGGCTATAGACTAAAGTTACTAAGTCACAGCCTCTAGGGTGTGATGTTAAAACATTAACATCTTTCATATAGTCCAGGCATGGATTTAAGAAATTAACCCAGTGTGTCTTGAGGCAAGCCTATTCCTCCCTTCATCTAGTCATCAGATATTGATTAAACTTCGATGATATGACTGTCATAGGGAGTCCATCCCGTTGGAGGTCAGTCGACTCAGGCAAGTTCCTGGGTGTTGGTTGGTTTGCGGGCAGGAGCTCTAATGATTACCAGTATTTCCATATCCACTGATGGGTATCTAAGTAGTTAGGGGCTGGGAGTGTTTGTAGCTCAGTAGTAGAGCACTTGGCTATCACGAGTCAGGCTCCGGGTTCCAGCCCTAGTACTATAGTAATAATTTATTAGAATCCAAGCGTGTAAATAAGATTAAGACAAAATTCTTGCCTCGTCGGACTTTGTTACTTGCCCCCCCCCCCAAGCGTCGCAGACCTACGTGTTAAACAGTGAGGCCGTGAAAGGAGTGGGGTCCTTCCGACCTGATCTGGGAATAATGCCCACACTGCTTGTAGAGTCTGGCTTCTGAATTCTCAGAGACCTAGCTGAGGCTCTGTAGCACCGCTTTTACAGACAGTGAGAGTTATTCCAGTTCGGAGTTCTGCCTGGTGGTCACGGGAGGTGAGGGGGGGCACAGAAGGTGCTGGGCTATTAGATGTGGCGTTTGTAACCCCGCAGATCAGTGACGTCAAGCTCTCTGTCTTCCCACAGGATGAGCTGCTAACCAAGGAGGAGATTCTAGACAACTGGAACATGTTTGTGGGAAGCCAGGCTACCAATTACGGGGAAGATCTCACAAAAAATCACGATGAACTATGAAAGACCCTCGTCCTGATGCGGCCGATCCTCAGGGGCGTTCTTCAGGTGTCCTGGGCGTTGTGACAGTTTCAGATGTGTCCCTCAACCATGAGATTACACCTCAGATTGGGGTAAAAATGAGTTTTCGTTCCCTGTTTACTGGAAAATAGCCATCGCTGTTGATTCCAGTAGGATCTCCCCTGAGGCACGTTCTAATCCTGGCAATTGCAATTCTCTGAGGGGATACATTGCTACGACTTTCTAGTCCGACTCCCCCACTTAAGTTAAAGGGATGGGGAAGAAAATGTGAAAGGGTTCTTTTTTTTTTTTTTTTTTTATTTTTTTTGTTTTTTTTTTTTTTTTTATTTTTTTTTTTTATTTTA